AATGACAGATAGTCTTCATTTGCTTTCTTTGGCCAAATGTGCACTCTGCAGTCATGATGTCAAAAAAAAAGTTTGCCAGTTTTAATATCAGAGAGTTAAATAATTAAAAAGAAGGTTTACCTGCACTCTGGCTTCGGTGAGGTTTATTTTCATGGCCAGCTCTTCCCTGGTGAAGACATCTGGGTAGTGTGTTTGGGCAAAGACGGCCTCCAGAGCTTCCAGCTGGAAAGAGGAAAAATATTTACTAGTTAGAGGCTGTGGCTAGGTGAGGGGAAGCAGATGTGTATTTCCTACCTGATCCGAGTGGTGAGGAAGCAGTTTCACAGATTGGATGGAGGAAGGAGAAGGAAGAAAGAGCTCTTTGAAAAGATCCCACAGAATTAGATTCTCAACCCTGAACAACTTAGGAGTTCAGACTGAATAACAACCTCAGTGCTCCCTCCAGGAGTAGCAATAAGGAGAGCAGTTTGACTATTTTTGTGTGTTTACACTTAAGGGTTGTCAAGGGATCAGAAGTCTAAGGTGGCCTTGTGAACAGTCTAATTCACAGCTTCCACCGCAGGCACAAAGAGTAAGGTCACCGGCCAAGCCCTCCCGCCTCGACCCATAGAGGGTTCTCAGGTTGTGAGGGACACCTTCCCAACTGCTCTGGCCACTCAGGCCCTGGACAGAGGCTGATCTCAGGGAAAAGTCAGCTCCCAGAAAGACTGACAGCAAGATTCCCTTTACCAGCAGCAATACTGTCTACAAGTCAGTCAACTACATGGGCACAAGTCTTCCCATCTATCTTTTCAGGATAGGTATGAATGGCTGACTTGCCTCCCCCAAAGAGGTACAAATGACATGGTTGGTAATCCTGATTCACCAACCTGAGCCAAATGGGGGACTTAACTGCTACTCCTTCCCTTGATTCTCTGGGAACACAAGGTCAGTCATCTGCCCTCTACCCAGACAGAGTCCTCGAAGTGTAAATTGTTCAAGAAAACAGAAAGATGAAGCCAGTCTATCCAGGTGGGCTTGTCTGAAGAGAGGGAGAGTTGCTCAAGTCTGCCCTTGGGGAAAGCAGAAGGAAGCTGGTTCTTGGGAGGGACTCTGACCTACCTGCTGGAGAGTGAAGGTCGTCCGGTTCCGGCGCTGCTTTCTGCGCAGGAAGCCATCATCGAAGTCCCCTGTGGAATGGTTGCCGAAGGGCGCAGTGCCTAGGAGACCAAAGAGGTCGGGCTGAGCAGAGGGACACCACTATCAGCCCACCCGGCCACAGCAGCTGGACTCAAGGACGCCAACACCCTCCCCGACACGTCCTTTAAGACTCCCCCTTCTCCACATTCTCCTTCTCTCTCTCCAGAAGAACCCTTTGCCTTCAGACCAGTTGTCCTTATTGTGCACAGCAGTAGTGACCTTCATCCCCAAGATGGCCAAGGCCACCCTTGTGGAATTCCAGACTCTGAGCCAGGAGGGGTCTCTGGCTTGAGGAGGAGCCTATATGTGCCCCCACGCTCACAGCTGCACCTCTGTTCAAGACCTGCACGTTAAACATCTAGCAAGAGTTTGTGGGTCCTCTTGGCTCACCTGTTAGTTTACTTCCCCTGTGCCTGTCACCTACAGGGGTTAAAGACTGGGGATGGAGAGGATGGGGGAGGACACCAAGAGCATCTCACAGCCCTTTTCTCCTCAAAGTGTACAACTCGCTCGAGGAGGTAAGAAGTTTATAAATGAATATTAATTACCGCTGGTCACAGCTCATCAGCACCATAGTGGATCTGTTATATAGATGTCAATTAACAAAAGCTCTGCACCAATAGCAAGTGTCCTGAATGCCAAGCAGACTAGAATAGAGCCACTTTCAATGGACAGCCCTCCCTCCAGCCCAGCCATGTAAAGCACCTACTGCTCCCTGGTCCATCCCTAGAAAAGACAGGCATCATCCTCCCTGGCAGCCTCCGCAGCTCACAATAAAGACAGAACCGAGTTCGGCCCCAAATGTGCATTCAGATCATTTTCCAAATGTGCACTATTTACTTGATAGTCCACAATGGCTTCTTAGGAAAACAACGAGCAAGTTTCCATTAACCAGAGAACCAGTTACCTGTCGTGGTTCTGTGCTCAGAAGCCCCCTGTGTTCAGCACCCACTCTCAGGCCACAGTGCCAAGACGTATCCCTCCAGAGGACCTCAGTCCCTAGGGCTTCTTAAAATTTTAGCCACTAAAGGGAATCCCTTTCCATATTATTTTACCCCCTGAGCCACATTCCTTGCCAAAACGCACTCCTTCCCCTGTTGAAGCTTTCTGCCTCCATCTTCCAGTCCAAATCGTACTTCTCCTCAAAACCCTCGTTGCAAATATTTCTCTCCAGCTCATTGCAAACCTAAAACAGATGGCCTCAAAGCTGACTTATTTCTATTACTTTGAAAAAAGGCAAATTGTCTCCTTTTGAAACAAAGCACTTGCCTGGTGTGGCTGGAATGCCATTTCTGAGGTCCTCAACCACAATCTTGCCCAGTCTTCTAACTTACACCTATGTGTTGCAAACTGCCTCACACTTCTGTATGCAACAGTCTGGGCTGTCAGGTTGAATCCTCTACAAGGCTGACTTCATCAAATCAAGAAGAAAAAGGAAATGAACAAAAGATAAGGACAGACTTTTCACATATATAGAATGGTTGATAATATCATGAAAATGTTAAACTTCATAAGTAGATACTTGAAACACAATAGGACAATGAAATACTATTTTTTATTATTTTGGCAAAAAAAATAAAATAAAGTGCATAATGCTGTCTAGTACAGATGAATTGTAATAAATTGTGCATCTTCATTTATAATTTACAAGAGTATCAATTATTGTAGCCTTATTAGAAGATAATTTAGCAATAATCATGAAAAATTTACGTGCACTCAGGCATTTAATCTATGAATATATATTTTAAAGTGTGCCAAAATAGACAGAGAAAAATATTCCTGGAAATATTGCAGTAGGAAAAGAAAATAGGAAACAACTAAAGTGTCCGTCAGTGAGCACTTTCTGCCCTACATATAATGGAATACTACATAGCTGTCTAAAAGAAATTAGCAGGCCCATATATATTCACATGGAAAAACCTCCAAGACGCATTGTGAACCACAGAAGGACTCAACAATATGATCTTTAGTGCAAATGAGCCAGAACATATAAAGAAAAGAAACATAAATGATGGAGGAAAGGCTGTTTTTGTAGAAGGGATCATAAGAAACCCACAACAGCAGGTGTGTTTAGGGAGAGACAAGGAGAAGGGTTCCATTTCTTAATGCATAGGTCCCTTTTCTATTTGTACTTCTTAGGCAAACATAGGTTGTGCTTTTTAATTTATAATACCAGCAAAAAACATCTGAGATGTGAGACTAGGAGCTGTACTTTGTTTCCTGCTGTATGCTTCTTTAGATTAATGAAAAATTACTATTAAAAAGCTGATTGGCTGTGATCCAATGTCCTATGCCAAAGGTCTTTTCTCAGCTTTTCCATTACAACAGATCACCTGTCCCTACCCCAAACTAACCTAAAACTCCTCTTCCTGCAAAAACAGCACAGAAACACATCTACAGACGGGTAGAGGGTTCCAAAAGCCCTGTTACCTTCTCTTCTGGTTATACCAATCTGAGTCAGCATCCAGGTGGCATGTGCCCAGCGTGCACAGCTGGGGACAGCTGAGAGGGCTGGGGCCAGGACTGTCCCCAAGCCACTTCTGCAACCGACCCTGCAGATAGGATACCCCTTAGGTGACACAGGATGTCTGCCACTTGCTAAATGCCTGAGCCTCTACCTGGCCCAGCTGGGTCAGAGGAAAGGGTTGTGGGGTGGCTCAAACCGGGAGTCAGCAGCACCATGTGTGTGGACACAGACAGGCTCAGTGTCATATCACAGACTGGGCACAGGTCATGGCATGACAGAGGTGAAATGCTACACGCTGTGGCCTCCCTCTGTGGGCACCATGGTAAACCTGGCAGGGCCACAGTGGTCCTCATGAACTTTCCCCTAGAACACCCTGCTAGACCCCAGAAAGCTTAGACAGGAAAACAAAAACAAACTTTGGGAAATCCCAACAGAAGCAGAGCTAGGTGGACAAGCATCCTCTTCTGCCTCTGATCCCTTGGTGTCTACCAGTGGCACTGCTCCTGCCCCCCCATTCTTGACCTCCGCAATGTCCCATAAATGACAGGACTAGGCTGCCAAAAGCCATCTGGGGACAGCTCTCAAGGTTAGGAAGCCTGATTCCCAGGGCTGCAGGTCCCAGGAAGGTCCCAGGGTGGGGCAGCGCTTCCCCCCGTAGACCCCTCTTGGCGGAACACCCAAAGATCCAAATTGTCCTCACCACCCCATCCCCACACCGAGGCTCCTGCAAGGAAATTTCTTCTAAGGTCTGGGGACCTGCAAAGACCAGCCCCTGTCCCTGGGGGAATAGGTGGCTTTGGTGATCAGAACCCCAGTGAGTTACAGAAGAGGATCCCTGCCATGGCACTGGGGCATCTTGAGGGGCACTTGGCTCCAGGGACCACGTGGCCGCCTGGGATGCTGCCTGGGAGGGTCCTGGAGCTCCCTCCACAACGCCCAAAGGACAAGCTCTCCCCGGCTCTGGGCAGGGCCCCAGACGGGCAGCCAGCTCACTGGGCTTTCTGGGATGTTTGCAAAATGCCGTGAAAGATTGATGCGGCCCCCGGGCGGAGGAGCCCCGATTACAGGCGTGACACCAGCATCTGTGCTGGGACGACCGGCGTCCCCACCGCACAAATAGCCCGGGGCCACCCAGCCAGTGCGGGGAGGGAGTGGGGAGGCAGGTGGTGCGGGCTGGGGGACGAAGCTGGGAGCGGAGAGGGGGCCCAGGGCGCCCTGTACGCGCGAGCGGAGACCCCTCCACCCACGGACCGGCTGCTGCGCTCGGCCCTCCCAGGCCGGTGGCCCTCACCCGACATCGGGGCTCGGGCGCCTACTCACCCTCCAGCTGCGGCGGGCAATGGAAATAAAACATCGCCGACGGCCGGCGCAGCGGCAGCACAGCCGGACTTGGAGGGTGGCGGCGGGACTCTGGCGCTCTTCGCTCCGGCCTGGCTGCAAAGCAAAGGGCGACAGAACCTGAGTCCTCGCGTGCACTCGGACCAGCCCCGGAGCTCACTGAGAGCTCCCCTCGCGGGAAGCCACCTCCCGACAACCTCAGCCCACTACGGGGACAGGAGGGAGGTGGCGGCACTCCCTGTGGCAGGCCTGAACCCCGGGCCAGCCTTTCGTGTAGGTCTACCTCCCGAACACCAGACAGCGGTGCCTGCACTCCGATCCCACACTGGCCCACAAGGTCGGGTCCGCGCTCCCGGGGTCCCAGCCGCAGTCCCGCGCCGGCCACAGCGGCGTTTCTGGCGAGCACACAAGGCCATCGCGTGCCCTGGGCCACGGGGCGGCGGAGTAGGAGGCCAGCGCGGGGGGCCGGCAGCGGGTCTGATACCCAGCGGCGGGTGAGGAGCCGCAGCCCGGGGTCGGGAACCCTGCGTACCTCCCTCCGCAGGCGGCGGGCGAGGAGGCCAGAGCGGGACCGCCTGGCCGCACCGAGCTCTGCTGGCGGCGGGCGGGGCTCGGCGCTGCTGGCGCCCGCAGGACCCGAGAAGTGACTCGGGAAGTGGCCAGATGTCTTGCTGTCTGTCTACAGCGCGCGCCGCGGCTCAGCACTCGCCTTTATAATCTCACGCATAATTGGCCTTAATCTGATTATTTCCAGCGCTGTCTACAGCGAGTAACTTGGATAGGTCTATTGGGCCTTACAAACGGCCCACGTGGTGTAAAAAAAAAAAAAAATCCGTCATTTCTCAGCAAACATCAGGAATTTTTTTTTCTTTTCCTTTAAAAGAAGAAACAGTGGTCACCGCTATTACCCCCCAAGCAGCGGTTCCGTTCTCAACCCTCAGCCCTCCCCCTCCGCATGCCCCCTGACACTCAAACCTTCTTTCTCACGGAGAGATTGGATTTGGACTGCCCTTGTCACAGGCCTGGCAATTCCTGGGCTTCGAGTTGACAAAGCACTGCTAATTGTCACCGCCGGATGGGTTTTGGGGGGACTCTGCACACTGCTTCCCTTTCCAAGCGATCGTACAAAAGGAAAGTTTGATTTTGTTCTCAGCAAGGGGTCCCTGAATTTATGTTTGCTTCTCCATGCAAATGATATGCGGTGGGACCCTTCGCAATTACTTTTAAAACGCATCCGAGGCAGACACTCAGCAGAGAGAGACCGCCCTTCTCTCTGCCTGGGTGAAAATTAAACTCTAAAGTACCGGGCTGAAATTTTCAAGTCAGGGGCGCGGGATTGGATCAAATCACATAAACTGCAAAAAAAGCCCGTCTAATGGTGCATAATTGGTTCTGTAATAGCATTACACCAGGATAATAGCCCGTTACGGCCCCCTGCACTATTAAGTGCTTCCCTGGCGGAAAGCCTTTATGATATTAAAGGGGGAATATAATGATATTTTGGTTATTAAATGCGTGTAATTAATTTATGCACCACTGAAAATAAAGTTGGTATTATGACCCACTCAAGATGCATCAGAAGATGCAAGTCAGACAACTGTTGATAAGTTCTGGTGTCTGTGCTCCGTCTAGACTGCTGATTTTATTTTGGGACGATGGCTTCTTGGACAGACTGCATAAATTGAATATTTTATAAACATTCTAATGCTGCGTTCTGGAGTCTTGGCTAGGCGAAGGGTCGGGTCCTTGCCGGCCCGGGATCCAGCCCGGATCTTAAAGACACAGCGCGCTGGAAACAAAAGCCCTGGCGGGCCCACTCGTGGACACTGCCCTCGGCGGCAGCGTGGAGCTGGAGGGCGCGGGGTTGGGGCCCCGGACCGTACGTGGACCCCGAGGACAACGCGGCGTCCCGGGCCCAGGCAAGTCGGGGCCTGCGTTTCGGAGCAGCTGTTTCTGGTCTCGGCCGCGGGGAGCAGGCAGTCTGCTCTGTAGCTAGCCTGGTGCGGCGGAAACACCGGCTCGGCTCCGAGCGGAGAGACGCCGGCTTCAGCTCTGCTGGGGCCCCTGGGTTCGCAAGCCGGGAGGCCGGCGTGGGAGGAAGGCGCCCGGGATCCGCAAGGTGATGCTAGGCCGGCGGTCACATCCGGAGAGAGGGCTGGAGCTGGGAGCCCGCCCTGCCTCAGCCTCGGCGCTGTCGCTGTCTCTCCCAGTGTCCCTCAAAGGACCCTTGCTCTCTGCAGCCCTTCTCCTGGGCTGGAGGCCCCCCCTTGAGCTCCGGGGTCTGCAAAAAGCCTCTTTGGTGCCCCCACCTCCGCCCTGGACTGCAGCTCCCGCTGCCCGCCTTGGGAAGCGGAGTGAGGAGGGTTCCTTTTGCGCTCCGTCAAGATGCACGGGGCACATCGGCATTGGCGCGGCTACCCAGAGCCGGCGGCTTCAGGGGCCCCAGAAACCGAGAGCTCCCAAGGCTCGCTCTCAGCTCCCATCCCTGACATCGCCCGATGCAGGGTCCTGTCAAGGCCCAGACGAGTCCCGCGGACTGGACAGGCACAGGCGTGTTGGGGTCTGTGAGCAGCGCACTGCCCGGGCGAAGCGGCGGATCAGAACCCTGGACAGCGGCACGCGCTCAGACCCACCAGGATTTAAAGACCTGAAAGAAGCGGGTCCCCGGGCTCTCCGCCCTCTGTGCCGCGGAGGCGGGACGCTCCTGCGTTGAGGGGGCCAACCTCGTCCATTCTGGCCCCAATCTGCGAAGTTACTTGGAACGCGCGCTCTGCGCTTGGGGCGGGGACCGAACTCCGACTCTGTAGTCTATGCGCGGTCCGGCCCCGCGGCTCAGCCAGGAATCGTCCCAAGGCCCCGCGCAGCCTGGCCTGGCCCCGCCCCATCGCCCCACGGCCCTCGATGCAAGCCTGACCGCCTGGGCTGGACAAGAAGCCTCCGGTCCGGGAGACGCCGCCGCGCACCCGGCTGCTCCAGGCGCTGAGTTCCCGCAGCCTCGCGCATCGCCGTCCCCTGCCAGAGCCACGGGGCCAGGTGTTCGCAAAATATCAGTGAGCCACCCAAGAACCTCAGAAACGAAAGCTTCGCAAACTATGATCAGAGCCATTTTATTGCCCCTGATGGTAGCCTATACTTGGGACTCTGGAGAAGGTGACTGATAGGTATTCACTACCCACCCCGCCACACACACACACAAGCTTTAATAATGAAACGGTCATTTTTTTCCTTAATTCTTGTGCCATAAAATGTATTTTCCAATTAACCAAATTTGCGGATCTGTCCCGCTTGGACACTCTGATAATTTACAACCTGAAAGTGTACTTTCTTTATCTAAAGACCAAGGTGACTGCTTTTAATTTTCTCCAACCTCTTTACACTTGATGTTCACCAGGCTCATAATGTTAATTGGCTTTATATACGGATCATCAGTTTAATGAAGAAATAAATCCTGTGTTGCTTTATGTTTTAACAGTGATTGCTTTAATGAGGAATGTGACGTGTTCCAAAATCAAAGCTGCAGGAGACCTTAGAGGGGCTTCTATTAGGACGGAAATGCTTATTTAAAGTTAAAACCACGGAGTCATATTTCAACAGATTCTCCTATTGCTCACCCTCCCCACCCCTCCTGGGTGGCTTCTGACCTCTGCAAGGAGACAGCTATGGTCCTGGAGGCTCCCACTTCCCCTGTTTAATCTGTGGCCACTACAGAAGCTTTCTTTTCTATAAGAATCGTTTTCTGGTCACCACATTCCTTATGCCACACTTCCTGCTGTCCACCAGGGTAGGGTGAAGCCAGAACTGGGCAGGGAGTTCAGCTTTCAATTTTACTCATGTTTAGAAAAATAAAGTGGGATGAGCAACACACACAGCCCAGGACTATGGGCAGATGTGTTGCAGACAGCTACCTGGGCACACATCCCTGTTGCTGGAATTCAGTGCTCCGTTCCTAAGGGTACTCAGCTCCATCCTGGGCCCAGTGGGTGGCCACTGGCGACCCAGGCTCAAGACTCTGGCAGTCTGCTGGGGAAGCACAGGGCTTCTACCCAGGTGGTGGGAGCTTTACTTCTCTGTATCAGTTAATAGAGTAAATCTGCTTTCTCTAATGTGTGTTTGATTTTTCTAATTTTAAGCCAGTTCTATGAAAGAAAACTGTCATCACAAAAACACTGACAGCAGCAATAAGATGCTGGGAATGGGAACATCTATACATGCAAGCCTTCAATTATTCTCAGCTGAAGGATGAGTCATTCGAAATTGATTCCTGAAAAGAATCCTAAATCCTAGAAAATGAAGGGGTTTGTAGCTCAGGTTTGAGATCTCCACCCCCTATACACAGAATTTCTTTCTTAGCATTGGTAAGAAAATTAGCATTGCTTTAGGAAAACTGGGGAAACATTTGGACACACTTTGGTGCACATACTTGAGCCCAAATACCTGAACATGTGTTGCACTTGACATCTTCATAGTGCCCAGAAGAGATTTTTTTCCATCCTCCCTCTTAAAACTTTTCTTAGAAAAAGCAATTTCCATAAACATGATTTAAGTCCATAATAATGGGGTAAAGTAGACAACATACTTCAATTAACAGGGAGAGGAAAAAACCACATTAGATTCTTAACTATGTGTTTTGGGAGGATTTGTATGATTTGTATTGTTGTTTTGATGCTAATTTGTTTAAAAAAGATTCTCAGTATAATCCCCAGTGACCACCCATCCCTTCTGCACAGAGGAAGAATGTGGGTGTGCTTGGTGTGAGTACTGCTTATCCGCAAATCTCCCGGCATATCAGAGTTTTGGAAGTTGCCAATAAAACTGAGTTTGCTAAACATGATAGAATGTGTTTTTTAAAAAGGAAGAAGCTAATTGAAATTCCAGATGAACAGGGGACTTATGAATATATATATATATATATATATATATATATATATATATATGAATAGATATATATATCGAGGGATAGATGTGCATTTTATTATCTTGGAAATTCCCTATCACTCTAGTGTCATGTAAAAGTAA